AATTCAACTCAACTTAATTCATAGACATTTATTGAGTTTCTACCATCTGCCAGGCATTGCTGAGTCCTGGAGATATAGAACAAAATAAGACATGTACTTGAACCTCAAGAAGCTCACAGTCTAGTGGGAGACCCCAACAATAAACAGACAATTATTATATATTGTAGTGGCGTAAGCGCTATGGTGTGTAAGCATAGGCTTCCAAGCATGGCAGACAGAACAATAACCCCACATGTGGTTTTTGACATTTCTATTGCCCATCAGGGAGCCATTCTGTGGGGTACAAACAGACAGGTGTTTCCCAGATGCAAAGCTGTTCATTTCTCAGTTTGCCATGAACAAGGGAGGTTACTGGTGATAAAATAATGAATAAAGCATTATTTTGGGCTTCAAGGAACTTATGTCTAGTGAGAGGGGAACACACATAAACACACATATATGAATATATACACACATACAACTATCAGGTAGGTAGGAATGAGGCAAGTTTTAACAATATACAAAGGTCTTTGGGAGTTAGAGTAAGGAGAACTATGCGGAAGTCAGCCTACTTATCTCACCTGTACAAGATTTTTATGCATGTTTGAACTAATAAAATTGCAACATGTACAAGATTTTCCACCATCTTCTGCTTTTAGCCAGGATGTAGTTACAGGGACCAGATTTACCATCCCACCATAAACAACTAAAAAATGGGCAAAATGAATGAAACAACAATTTTTGGACATTGGATAATAGGTGGTACAAGACTGTGATCCCTGAGAAAAAGGAAACAGTGAACCCTGTTATTCTCTCGGCTTTCTTCTTGGAGCTATGTTCTAGACTGTGGAACAGGGAGAGTAATGGAAAGCAGAGGAACACAGTGATGCTGAGTTGGGAAGACAGGAAAAAGAGTTCACAGAGGTCAAGGCTGCTGGAAGTTGCAGAATTCCAAGTAAGAGAGAACTATTCAGAAAAAAAGTTCAGAAATCTACCTAACAGTACCTTTGAATCTTTGCTGAATACTATGGTATGCATGCATGAGGCCAAGGAAAGAGCAATTGAGGAGCTGTGAGCCAGGGAACTCATTCAGGTTCTCAATAGCCACAGTAGAGAGACCTCGGTGATCACTTGGGGCATTCAGTAAAAGGCCCCAGAAGGTGGCACTTTAGTAGTGGGGCTAAACTATGCATTGAATAAGGGTTATTATTCTAGACCGGCCCTCACACCTAACACATTTTTTTTTTTTTTTTTAGAGACAGGGTCTCACTCTGTCATTCAGGCTAGAGTGCAGTGGTGATCATACCTCACTGCAGCCTCAAGCAATCCTCCCATCTCAGCCTCCCAAGTAGCTAGGACTACAGGCATACA